GGTGACACGGCACATGACATCTAGAACAAACCTCAGGAGGGGAGTTTCCTTTTCTGTGAAGGATTTGCCCAGAAAGCACTTTGGAGAGCCAGACCCCAGAGTGTGTCATGAGCAGGATGCAGATGAGGGAGGAAAACAGTCAATAAGAGCAAGCCCAGGCCAGGGAAAGACAGCAGGATTCTCTTCTGGCTTCCAGAGTGGGTTCAAGGAGCCTCTGTCCAGTCTTCCTCCTTTCTCTTGTTGAACTCCCCCAAATCCACAGTCCAGAGGGGATTCCATGATTCACAGCGATGGAAATGCTGGAACAATGATCATCAGCATCCCCAAGCCAATGGACCTGGAGAAGGTCCTTGCTCCAGGGATCACCAGGGCTGGAGGCAACCTCAGCCTTGCTGTATCCCAAGCATGAGTCCTCTGCTACTGTGCGTTGATCACATCACACACCGAGGACCGGAGGGAGGATTTGCCTCCCCTCCTTGGGGGATGAGAGCCTGGAAGGGGGCAGCGTGGTTCATATCCAACTCATAAGCCTCTCAGAGCTCAGGCTTGAGGACTGAGATTCACTCAATTAATTTTGCTTTGGCAAAAAGTCCATTTTTATTGCTATTTCATGCCTTCAGTATAGATTTTCCCTGCTCGTCTCAAAGGGATAATAAAACCCGACTCGTTCTTTTTATAAAAGTCTCACACTCCCTCTCTCACCAGGCTCTGTGTTCCCCAGCTAGAGATGTAAATTTAAAGGGGAAATGCTGTCATTTAAAACAAAACAAAACCAAAAAAAGCAACTCAGAAAGCCCAGCTTTGAGCATATTCCAGCTCTCAAAACTAGGCCGTGCAACCGAAGCAAAAACCAAGCTGCCACCTTCCCGCGGTGAAGCGGCATTCCCACAGCGATCCCACCCTCCCGCTGAAGACCGGGGGTGACTGCCAGCACCAGGAAGCAACTCTCCATCTTGCAGAGCTGGTGATGGCCCTTGACTGCCTGGAATGTGTTGTTTTTTCCAGCCTGGAACTGGTGGGCACAGGTGGTGACCGCTGCTCAGAGACGGTTCTTTGCACTTGGATGTGACACTGGTTCTCCAGCACCTGCACCTGCCTCCCTCCTCCTCTTCCTCCTCTCCCTCCACACCTGGTGAAAGCTTCCTTGCCGCCGGCCTCAAGCAGCTGTATACCAGCCCTCCTGGGGAAAACCCCAAATCCACGCAATGTTGAAATCCCAAATCCACGCGATGCTGAGCACGTGGATTTTGAGCATGTTTCCAAGCAGGTAACGGGACAGGATGGTGGCAGGACGATACACAGGTCTGCCTGTTCCACCCCAGCTGGGATGCATCCTGCCTACTCTTCAGAAGGGCTGTAGCTGCGGAGCATCCCTCTGAGACGTGAAGAAGGGAAAGGGAAATGCCTTTTCTGTGTCTCGTGCCCCGCTGCGGGGGATAGGATGCGAGCAGAAGCCAAGTAGAAGCCCTGTCATTAGTGAGTGGCAGCAATTGCCTGGGGAGAGGGTGGGGTCCCCAGCACCAGCTGGATTTAAGAGCAGATACGAACCTGGCAGGGCTGATTCAGCCCACTAGGATGGACTCAAGACGGTTCCCCCTGCCCTGGCCATGTGTCTGATTTGGTGACGTGCAGAAATCCACCATCACTGGGACTCTCCTGTCTCAGCAGGAACCAGGAGCGAATCCAAAGCAGAGCGAAGCCATGTGAGGCGAGAGGAGACACGCAGGTGCCTGCACGGTGCCAACCCAGCACGGGACCGGACCAGGCTGACGGGTGACAGCCAAACCCTTCATATTCAAATGTTTTTCCTTCTCCCCATCCTTTCCCTTTTCCTGCACCTCACTGCCAAGCTGCCTGCATGCCCTGGCTGCCAGCAACTCAGAGCCCTGCCTGCACCTGGCAGGGGAGGCAGCGCCCACGGCGAGAGGAAACCCACAGCTTGCTCTGCTCCTGCAGGTGTGCCTGCAACCCACAAAAGTTTTAGGGCAGCTAACAAGGATGGGCAGGAGAGGAAAGATGAGGAAACTCCCAGCAATACCACGCTCCCTGGATGACTGATGGTCCGGCACCTCTGGGCTCAGCTCTGGTGCTGCCAGTGAGGCTGTGGAGTGGCTCCGTCAGTTAAACCAAAGTTGTGCCATTTTCTCTGATGTCAGAACAAACCGTCCTTCCCTGCCGTGAGCTGCCAAGCCTGAGGGATGTTATAGAAAAGAATTCTGCAGCTGCCCCATTTCAGAGGGAAATCAGTTGGAGTCCCTAGATTTTCCTGCAGAGCCCTCACAAGGTTCGACCCTCCAGGCTGGAAAATCCTTAGCGAGCTGTGACAACCTCTGCAGCTCAGGCATAGGCGAGAGATGATTAAGACTGGCTGAAATCTCCCAGGACTCTGACATGTGAGAGGCCCCATGCAAGACAGAGAACCACCTCAGGCTGCTCCTTGCAACCTGCAACTCCCCTCACCTTAGCACAGAGCTGAAGGGAGACCTCGGACTGAGTGAGGCCAGGAACCAGGTCACTGCCACTGGTTTCCAGGCAGCAAAGGTTTGGAAGAGCAGAGGATCATTTAGCAGAGCGACAGTGAAGGTTCAGAGCAGAGCCTTCAAATTACACGCTACAGAGCACTTTTCCTGCCTAAAAGGTCTCTGAAATGACTGTGGCGGCTCTGAAACGAAGCACTCTGTATGCAATTGTTCCCTGGGGCTTGCAGCGGAGACAGAGCCGGGAGAGGAGAGGTGGGTCTGCGGTCCCTGGCACGGGCAGCTCCTCATCAGACAAGGATGCACACTTTTTCTGGGCTCCACGGCACAGCCGTGCCGCTTCCCTAAATCTCCACAGCGGTTTCTACCGGTTATGGTTTTTTTTTTTTATTTTTATTTTTTATTTCTCACTTCCTGCCTTGAACTTCACACAGCTCCCGGCCCCAGGCTGCAGAGCTGCTGCTCAGGATGCAGTGCCCCCAGCCTTGTGCACAGACCCCCACTGAACCCCCCACCATCATCGCTCTCGCCATCGATCCCATGGGAAACAGGGAGGGAAGAGCACCCAGGGGGAACATGTCCTTTCCTCCATCTCACTTGGCTTCTTCCTATCCTTCTCCACTCCATCCCCCAGCAGCTCGAGGTCCATTTTCATCAGGCAGTGACAGACACCAGGAGACACAGTCTCAGCACCAGCAGGCACCACGCACAGCCAACCTCTGCCTCACCCCCCGTGGGTCCCCCAACCCTCTGCCACCAACACACAGGTGACAGCACCCACATTCACAGAGCCACCACGGCGCTGCTCACCCACCTGGGGAACACACGCTGCCACCCCGGGGGAGGCAGCTGTGGGGTAGGAGCACTCCACAAAGTCCCGTCACTCAGCAGGAAACCATTTCTGGACCACCAAGGAGGCTCCAGAGATGCCCAGGAGCTGGGGCAGCTGGAGCTGAGCTGGAAGAGCTCTTGGAAGGTGCTGGCACCACCGGCAATGCCCTCCCTCCACTGGCACAGGGCCCTAGGAGCACTCTCCCATGCAAAACCCCAACTGTTGGGTTTGTTCTTCCAAACCATCACTTTGGGAGGTCACCTGAGGGCAGCCAACCCGGTCACCGCTCACAGCCAAGGGGATTGCTGGCAGGGGCCAGTGGGCACAAGAGCTTTCACCAAAGCCAAAACCTGCTCACATCTAATGGATGGCATCGCGCTCTGTCTAAGGCAGTGGGGGACAAACACGCACCCCAGCAACATCCTGCTCTGACGTCAGCGAGAACCTCCAGCAGGTCTGCGACGTCAGCCCGACGCTTCCACCGGCCGGAGAGCCCTCGGGATGCCGACCCCGGGCAGCTCAGCATCTGCATTGGAATCCCACCACCATGCTCAGGGTGCTACTCCAGCTGCACATTTCCAGCGGGGGTGGGAATACACACACACACGCGCACACACACACACAGAGGAATTTAAATGGAATTTCACAGCTGCAGCAGAAGGGCTCAGGGGGGGCTCGGGGCTATCAGAGATGCACCATGTCCCCCCTCGGCGTTTCGGCACCACCAGCTGGGAGCACCGCGGCCACCCGCACCCGCGGGACCGGGGGGGCCGGGGAGCCCCTCCGTGACGTCATCGAGCCCGGCGCCAGGCTCGCGTTTTGGGGGGGTCGAGGCGGGTTTCGGAGGGTTGGGGGGGGACCGAAACGGGCTGCGGTTGGAAATGCGAGTGCGGTGCGGTGGGAGCGCGGGGGGAAGGGAAGGGAAGGGAAGGGAAGGGAAGGGAAGGGAAGGGAAGGGAAGGGAAGGGAAGGGAAGGGAAGGGAAGGGAAGGGAAAAGGGGATGTGGCGGCGGTGCCACCGCCGCTCCAGCGGCTGCAGCCGCCGCTGCGAAGCGAAGCCCCGGGGGGGTAACGGGGCGGCGGGCAGGGCTCCCCCGGCCGCCGGCAGCGCCCGCTCGCTCGGCCCCTCCGCTCCTCCCGCCGGCCCCTACCACCCCCCGCCCTCCCCGGGCCCTCCCCGGGCTCAGCGGCCCGCCCGGTTCTCCCCCCTCCCCGGGAGCCGCGTAGCCGGAGCCCTCCTTACCTGGCGGGCCGAGCCCCGCTGCCTCTCAGCGGCGGCGCTGGGCGGGGGCGGCCCCGGCGGCCATGCCCGGGCGGCCGCGCCGCTCTCCCGCGCCGTGCGAGCCGCCTCGGCGGTGTCAGCGGGCGGGAGCCCCGCGCGGCGCCGGGAGCGAGGGGAGGGACGGCGGGGGCATGACCGAGCGCCGTCGGAAGTGCACGCGCGCCCGCCGCCTGCCCGCGACCGCGGCGACACCTGCCGGCAGCGCCGCCGGTGGCACCGGGCACGCACCCGGCGGGGGCGGCGCGCACCGCGAGCCGCGGGGCACGGCGGGCACCGGGGCAGGGGGCGGGCACGGCATACCGGGCACCGCGGGCACCGGGGCAGGGGGCGGGCACGGCACGCCGGGCACCGCGGGCACCGGGGCAGGGGGCGGGCACGGCATACCGGGCACCGCGGGCACCGGGACAGGCGCTGGGCAGGGCATACCGGGCACCGCGGGGCGGGGGCGAGCATGGTACGCCGGGCACCGGGATGGGCGCTGGGCAGGGCATACCGGGCACGGCACGCCGGGGTGGGCGCTGGGAATGGCAGAACGGGCACCGGGGCACGGCACGCCGGGCACCGGGGTACGACACACGGGGCACCGAGGCGCGGCACACGGGCGCCGGGGCATGGCATACCGGGCAACGGGGCGAGCACTGGGCATGGCAGATCAGGTACTGGGCACTGGGATGGGCACTGGGCATGGCATACCCGGCACTGGGCTGCTCCACACGGTGCGGTGAGTCCTGGGTGCCAGCAGCAAGAACCGTATGGCAGCTTCTGGGCAGCACGGGCTGAGTGTTATGGAGCAGGCATGGGAGGGTGGCAGCGGTGCTGGGTACAGGGAACCCTCCCGGGCACCACCTGCCAGGTGCTGGTACTGGGCACTGGTGCTGGGTGCAGGGTAGTCCATTGGACAGTATCCACCAGCTGCTGGCAGTGGGCAGGATGAGGACGCTGGGTCAGGGCTCAGGTCTGGATTTGGAGCTGGGGCTGCTTCTGGGCTTTGATCCACATTTGGATTAGGGCTGGACCATGTATGGGTCTGCACTTAGGTGTGGGTCTGTATTTAGATGAGTATTTGGATCTGGATTCTGATCCACATCTGGATTTGCATTTGGAGCTGGATTTGGATCCACATCTGGACTTGCATTCGGAGCTGGATTTAGGTATTCATCTGAGTCTGGATCACACACCCTTCACAAAAGGTGGAGGTGGCCTGCCCACCCCCTTCTCTCCAAGCCTTCCATGGGTGCAGAGAGCACAATCACCCCACGAGGTGTTTGGGGCTGCCCACTTATCCTGCCCCAGGCAGAGTGGGAAGCCCCAGGGGGAAGCTGGGATGTGCAGCAGCGTGGCGGGAGCCCTGGTCTGGGAGCCAAGGGGTGGGATGAAATGGCAGCAGTCCCGCTGGCCTTGGCTGTGCTCAGCGGTGTGTCTGGGGCTGAACGTGCTCCAAGGAGGAGCCGAGGTCAGGGAGGGGGACGAGTGCAGGAAACATATTAAGTGAGGAAAATTGGCTGCAGCCAGCAGCGCTGCCTGATGCTTGCCTGGGATTTTCCTCTCCATCAGGTATCTGGTGTAAGCCCTTGCTGTTGGGAGGTTGCAGCTGATTACCCGTGTGCATCTCACACGTGCCAGTGGCCACCAGACCTGCTTTGCACCAAGAGAGGTGGCACCTGGGACCCCTCTGTGCGTGTGTCCCCGGTGCTGACACCCGGCTTTGGCCACGGCGACGTGTGCAGATATTTTAAGAGGAAGATTCTGTGCTCTCGCAGCTTGACTGCTAATTTATAATCCTGTTTTCCTATTAAAATAAAAGCCTCTCTCTTATTCCCGAACGTGAGAGCCAAAGCGGAGCTCTGAGGAAGTGCCCTGTTTGCAGAACACACTGAAACACACAAAGGAAACGAGGCAAAACCAGCGTTTTGCACGTTTTTGAGCCTCATTTTAGCTGTGACTTGGAACAGCAGAAGGGAAATCTTTTCCAGCAGGATGTGCACAGCGGGGGGGTGTGTGGAGCTGCTGGTGTCCCTTTGGAGCAGGGCCACCTGCCTGCTGAAGGACAGCAACCGCTGCGGGTTCCTGCTTTGTCCCTGAGGGGTGGCAGGTCCCTTGGGGGTCCCAGGGACTAGAGCTGGAGCAGCGTGTCCCCTGTGGGGCCGGCCAGGCAGGGATGGCAGCCGATGGCAGGAAATACCTGCTGCTCCGCTGCTTCCCGGCCAAAGCGAACAAGAGGGAGAGTGTTCCGAGGGCGGCTGCGGCCGCGTGCGGCAGGAGGGGCCTCCGAGGGACACACAGGCCATTGTTCCTTGAGGATGCGGGGCGGAAATTTGGATGGACCTGTGGTGTGCCGCCCTCACAGCACTGCCAGGGCTGTGAGTGGGACCCAGGATCCGATGAAGTGGATCAGGGTGGGAATTCATTAAACCTTGTGTCTGGTAGTGGCATCACTGATGGTGGTGCTGGGACAGTCCTGGTGGGACAACCCACTCGAGAGGGCTCTCCTACTCTGTGCAGTTGGAGCATGGCATGTGCTCAAGGACTTTTAGCCTTTCCAGAGCTCTTACTGGTATTTGTCATGGTCCAGCAGTAGCTCTGCTGTCTGTCTGTCCATCCGCACCCTGTCAGCCTTGCAGTAACCTGGAAAGACATTTAATACGGGCTGGGTTTGATCCACACTTTGACATTCCTTCAAGTGCTCCCTGGTGTTTTCCTGTCGCTTGCACAGTGCCTTTTCCCACCAACGCTCCCTCATTTCTGTGAAAAGGAAGAAAAAGACTTGCAGAGTGTGCCCAGCCTTGCAAATCCCTAATTACCCACCACACATCCTGGCAAACCGGCTTCCCTTTGAGCAGCGTTTCTGTCAGCAGGGATGGGGTGCAGGCTCTCCCCACTGTGGCTGATGATGCTGGTCCTCCCCCCTCACAGGGAGAGCCCTGAGGGGTTTGTCTGGCTGCTCCCACCGAGCTCCCACCCAGCTCTGCTCTCCTTCCCCCAGCACCCGTCCCACACCAGCTTCCGGAGGTTTTTTAGGAGGGAGGAAAAAGGGGGAGAGAAGAGAATGTGCTGCTCTCCTTCCGTGCTTCGCCCTTTCTCAGGAAGCGGCCAGATTGTTTCCATTAGGAAAAGCTGAGGATCCAAGTATTTGTCAATGACCAGGAGATTTGCTGATGGTAGCTGCTGTTCCCTAGAATAATGTTGAGCGAGGTGCTTGGCGTGGACCCATCCTTTTATGGTAAAATTAGGGCTAAATGCTGGGGGGATTTGCATTTGAAGTTGATTGATACGTGGCATTAGCGCACGCATAGATAATTTTGTATTTTGAGAGCGCTGAGCAAGGAATAATTTTTATTTTGGGTCAAAGATAAGGGCATTGCGTTGAGATGAAATATGCAGGGGTGCTGATCTGTGTCACGGGCACTGCATTTCTCTTGGCTGGGTAAGGAGATGGCAGACCCACATTACCCATTCCTGCCCTTGCTTTTAAGTGCTTTGGGTCTGTGCCCGATGCAAGGAGCAAACCCCCCACTGTCACTTAATGCCAGGACATGGTTCCAACTTTATGAGCTTTGGAGTTTCCCATTATAAAAAGAAAAAAGAAGAAGAAACCTCTGTTCTATTTTATTTACTTATTTTAGTAGCTGAAGGCTGTGCCACTGAGAAACATTAATTAAATAGAACAGGGTGGCTTTATCATTACGGGAAAGGTACAGGCAGAGTGTTCCCAAGCTGGTGGTGCCTTTCAAACCCACCTCTGGCAACCTGGACTGATGCTGTTGGAAGAGTCTTGTCCTTCCCTGTCCTTGTCCTTGGACCAGCTCTTATGGCACATCTCAGGATGTGCACAGGACTGTTGGCTTCCCTGTGTTGCTCAGCCTCTCTGGGCTGCTGCGTGCTGAATGCAGTCAGGATTTCAGGAGGCTGGAGCCTGGTGTTCACCTCAGCTGGGCAGCTGTTTCCTTGGCGGTAAGGACAAGGGTTCAGCCCTCTTGGGGACTTGGGGGTGGAGGAGAGAAGCTTCCCTTTGGGTCCCCAAGAAACAAGGGCCAAGGAGCTGGGGACAACTTTACTAAATGCATCAGCATAGGGCAACTCCAGACATTAGAGGTCACCCCTCCCTCCATCCATCCCTCCTTCCATCTATCAGTCCCTCCAGCTCTCAGAGGAGGGTGTCTCCAGGAGGGTGGCTCCCAGCTGGGCATACAGACTGTTTTGGCAGGGGCACGTGGCAGGACTGATGGGTTTCATGGGGTAAAGGGAGCCCTGATGAGAGGGAACTGTGCAGACATTAATTAGGCAGTCAGTGAGATCCTCAGGTGCCAATAACTCAGCAGAAGCACTGGGCCATTTGCGTGCAGGGGATGACAAGTGATCATGTCCCAGAAACAAGAAGTGACCCCCCCGCTGTCCCTCCTTGCCCCTTTGGTTGGGTTCCAGGGTCACTGCAGCTGGCAGGGCAGGGGCTGGCAGTGGGGGGCTGTGTGAAAACCCCCTCCTCTTCCACCAAAGCAGGTGGAAGGAGATAAAAAGGAAGGGGAAGAAGGAGGAGGGAGCAGAACTGAGGAGCAAAATCAGCTGCACTACAAAACGCCCTGAGCAGTCACTTGTGCTTGAGGCCATCCCTGCTGTGTGGCCAAGTGGCTTTTTCCAGGCCTGACAAGAGAAGCCCAGAGAGGTGGAAAGGGGGATGTGGGTGAGGGGAGGAGGGAGACGGCTCCAGTTTGAGCCTCAATAGGTTTCAGAGGCATTTCGGGGATGAAAGCTGCCCTGGGGCCCCTCCCAGCGAGCAGCAGTGCTGTGGGTACGCTGCGGGCATCGTGTTTGGCTGGCTGGCGGCTTCCTTGGTACGCTGAAAATGGTATTAAAAAAAGAAAAGGAAAAAAAAGCAAAACCTACAACAACAAAAAATATAGCACCAACCCCCCTCGCTCCCCCCCCCCCAACACCCCCTTATCTCCACCACCCAACAACAACCAAGAAAGGCAAAATCTTTCACAAGCCCGGAAGATGTCACCATAGAAACAGAAATCAGACCCACTCCACGGATCCTGCCGCCTGGGAAGGTGATAAAATGTTTTCTATCGATTGCTGTCGGGAAAGTCACTGCTGATAAGCCATCCGAGGAGAAATGGAGCAGGGATGTGGGGACGTGGGAGCTCTTCAAATGAGCCTCCAGATGGTCCCTCGGCTGCCCCTGTGCAGCGGTCGGGGACTGAGGGACCTTGGGCTGGCCAGGGGCAGCTGCTCTGCCCCAAGCTGGTGCCAGTGTGTGCAGCAGAGAGGTGTGAGTGTGCCATGCCTTTGGTGTGGCGATGTGAGCGTGCCCTGGCTGCTGTGAACACAAAGTGTAAAGCCCACTGTCTGCTTTCCCGCTTGCTTCTGCAGCAGAGCAGCTGTTCCTGGCTTTAATTTGAAAGAGGAGAGGTTCAGATTGGATATTAGGAAGAAATTCTTCCCCGTGAGGGTGGTGAGGCTCTGGCACAGGTTACCCAGAGAAGCTGTGGCTGCCCCATCCCTGGAAGTGTCCAAGGCCAGGTTGGATGGGGCTTGGGGCAACCTGGGTTAGTGGAAGGTGTCCCTGCCCATGGCAGGGGGGTGGAATGAGATGGTCTCAAAGGTCCCTTCCAACCCAAACCATTCCCAAACAATTCTATGAAAAACATCAGGGGAGATGAGCCTTCCCCTGGCTCCCGTTGTGGCAGCACCACAGTTGCCCCTTGCCCCCCTTTGGTTGGTGTCACTGTGATAATCCCCGTGGTGCCTTCCAGCCCTCTGCCCTCCCAGAGCCCAGATCCCCAGTCCCTGTTTGCACACTGGTGGCTGCTCTGCAGCTGGGAGCATCCCTGTGGCTGTGGCGCCGGCTGGGAGGTGTGGGATCTTCCCGGCAGCTCTTCCCAGGGCGCCACACAGCACCGGGGCCTGGCTCGAGCGCCCTTTGAAGAGATGGAAAATCCTATTATCTGCTCATTCTTCTCGCAGTGTGAAGCCTCAGAGCATTCAGCAGCAGTCGAGTGTGGTCTGCTGCCTGCAGGCTGGTGCTGCCTCTGCTCCCACCCACAAGGGAAGCTCTCTGGGTCACTAAAGATGGGCTTCACTTTCCCATCCCCTGATCCATGCACCTTCCAAAACCCCTGATCCACACCCCTTCCCATCCCCTGATCCATGCAAGGGCTCGGGGATACAGCTGTCCCCACAATACCATGTGCAGCATCCAGCAGTGGGGTGCAAAGGACATGCAGGGAAGCAGGGTGGGGGGCTGTGTGCTGATCCCCTGCTCCGTGGGGAGCCGAGGCTGCTGCTCCAGCCTGCAAATCCTCACGTCATTAGGGCTGGGAAGGTGTAACCCATCTCACATCCTTCATCCCTGCGGCAGCTTTGCTGCCAGTAATTGGCAGCAATAAAAGAGGCGGTTAATCCAGGGCAGCGTGGGATGCAGGCACAGGGATGTCTGCGGTGAAAGGCACCCTGGAAAGGAGGGGCTGAGGAGGAATATGCTCCTGGGCACAATTTACAGCCCTGGAGAGCTGGTTGGATGCCACAGGGAGCATTTGCTGGGGATTTTGTTAATGATGTAGGCGCAGCCTTCCCAGCTTGGCCTGTGCTAAAGCCCTGGCTCACACAAGCTGAGGCTCTTTGGCTTGAACTTAGACCAGCTGCTTTCCACTGGCTGGTGGATTTTTGTCTTGTTACTGGGTGGTTCCATGCGGGAGATGAACAAAGGAGAAGTTAGTGGGTGATTTCACCTTGGGGTTTCTTCTTTTGGAGGAGGAAGGAAGGGTTAAACCGTGTCTTGTTACTGAGTTATTTTAGGATAGTAGCACTGAAGGGACTGCAAGAGGATTTGTCTGCACATGGGAAGATGG